TCTGTGATTTGATCACGATATCATAGTGCCAACAAGTGTTCATATAGCACGCTAACTAGTGTTTGAAGGTCAGTAAAAATTACTGAAATTACCCCAAATTATTTATCTGACTTCAGATTATATGAGCTGTTTTGCAGGTAGGCCTGTCACAATCATGATACTTTAGCTGAGGATTATTTGCCATATAAAAACAATTAATAATCTTTTTTGTTCCTTCAAGGCAGCTGTCAAAGTTCAGATTTAAATTGGTGAAATTAGCTGATATCTCACTTCTTACCATTCGATATTTGGTAGCTCCCACTTGACGATATACAGCTCAATTAAGCAAACATTACTTACCACTGCCCTCTGAAGGTGTTATAGCACCTAGTCAGAAGTTAGAACTTTTGTTCACTTGTAACGTGTCTCAATAAATGCATTTTCTGCAGTCTTTTATTTACGTTTCTTTCAGCCCAGTGGATGTCGGTGCACTCAATTCACATTCATATTTATGACACAAACTGATTATGGCAAACGTGAACAACTGCGGAAAACAGTTGTGATCAGCTGTGGAAAATAATTGTGATCAGCTGAGAGAACTGCGATGGTGAAATAATTGACAGGCCTAATTGGAGGATCTCTGTGTTGTAGACCATTACACCACATCAGCCAAAGGTGTCATCAGTTCTAAAATGAGTATGATTGGTTTGTTTAATCCCAAATAGCTCAGTGTCCAGCTATGTAGACTGCTACTGCATTTTATAGTCTTCTCAGACATGCCCAGATGGTCTTTACCACATTCTGGTCATGGAATTAAAACATTTTAGTTTTATTTCAGTGTTTGTTCCATTTAAGAACGAACTTGATGTGTGAAAAAAGTACTTAATATGCGACATGCATGGACCATGTGTGACAAGTTTGAATGCTTTTCTTTTATCTTAAAAGGCCAATGACTTTCATGCTTCATGATGATTAGGTCAAATCAGCATCTCTATTTTTCTCTATTTTCTAACGTCTCGCCCATGCAATATTTATGTTGTTTATCCTGCATGTGTCCATTAAACATGCACTAAACGTTTAATCTACTTAGTTGATAGAGGTTCATATTTCACTGTGGTGAGGACAGCTTTGCGCTCAGTGTTTGTGAGGGCCTCTAATCTCTTTGTAATTAATGAGAGAGAGAGGAGCTCGTGGGAGCTTCACTGTTGATGTGGGTGGTCCCGCCTTCACTCCGCGTCTCCGCCGCCTCTGGAGCCATGCAGCTTCTCTTAGAGACAGAGCCTGCTGCCATCCAATGCGGGGCCTTCTTCCTCTCCTTCGCTCCCCCTCCTCCCTCTCTCTCTGTCTCTCTCTCCATCTCCCAGCTCGGAAGACCAGCTTTGAAGCCACTTCTGCACACAGTCTCTGGAGTGACCACACTGTAATTAGTAAACAGTGCAGCAAAGCGAAGCTGCTGGCTCCATCCGAGACCCTCCTCCTTCCCTCTGCTCCACAGCTAAGTCACTGACTCATGCAAAGCTTTCTCTCCGTCTCCCTCTCGCACTCTCACTCTCTCTCTCTCTCTCTCTCTCTCTCTCTCTCTCTCTCTCTCTCTCTCTCTCTCTCTCTCTTACTTCCCTCTTGCTCATCTCTCATTTTCCTCTCTTCTCTCTTTTTTTTCCCTCTCATATTTTGTCTTTTTCTCTAGCTGTTTTTCCCTCTCACCTCCATCTTTTTCTGTTTCTCTCTTTTTTCTTGTCTCTCGTTTTCGCTCCCTCTCTTTTTACCATTCTCTTTCTCTCCCATAGTCTTTTGTTTTCCTTCTCACTCTCTATCTCTGTTGCTTTCTCTCTCGCTGTCCTCTCTCTACCCCTTCCTCTCTGTCTCATTTTCCTTTTTCTCGTGCACCCACTCATCCTTGCTTTCTCTGCTCTGTGGTTTGTTCTCTGTTGCCCTGTATTGATTGGCTGATGTGTCTGAGGACGTTGGTCACTCGCAGGGTGAACGGGTTCATTGTTAGTGTGTAAAGATGAAGTGAGTGAAGATCAGCCACTTCAGTGAGACTCTGACTGTCACACAAAATGCCAGTGAGCTGATCTGGTGGTCTTTGCTGTACAATTCTGTGGCTTCTTTCTTTGTTTACTTACTGCGTTCCAAAGGAGCCAGAGGGAGGCTCTGGTGCGGCCGGGTTTCTCTCGGTTTCAGACTTACTCTCGCACTCGTGTTCTCTGCTCCCTCGGAGCCAGAGGACGCTGCTGCTGAGTGATGTAGCACAAGCTGCTGCCATTTATTTTGGGACCTCTATTGTAAGTAATATTCATGCTGCTATCGATCTCCCACCTTTGGATGAGAAACAGTATCTAAGGCGTCCATTCTGTTGGTCTAAATGCTGACACAGCTGTAAGCATGGACCTCACCTCTACAAGTAATCAATGCCTGCTATTTCAGGACGTTTTCTTTAAGCCAGTTTATAAAGTCAGCAAGGGAAGCCAGAGCCTGAAAATCTTCATGTTAATGTTTAAAACCAGCTGATTTTAACTGTTGTCGTACACAAACGTCACACATTATATACAGCAATCCTCAAAAAAAGAAACAATGTGTATTAGTAGTTTGACTTGATATTCATTGTTAAGTGCTATGGAGCAGCATAGTCCAGTCAGTCCTAGTCAGTCCTAGTCCTGAGAACAGTTTAATTAAGTGTCTGGGCCCTGTGCCTTTTGAGCCACTGTTGAGCATCTGTGGCTGGCTGTTGTAGTTTTTGCAGTGTGTCCAACACTGTTGGCACTAGTTGGTCCTTGTCAAGTCAGCTTTACCTTTATTTAAAGTTACCTCTGTTATAAACCACATTTAAGTAAAACTGACCAAAGTGCTGCAAAAAAAAACAATAATTTCAAGTAAAAATAAAAGAAAGAAATCGAAACAAGAATAAAACAGATAAAATTAATAAACAAAACAAAGAGCAACGGATGACACAAGGCTAAATGGCTGTCAAAGTATCTTTGCCATTCCTTCACACCACCGACATGTTGAGGGAGGAACGAAATATAGTTCCTCCAGGACATGGTGCTACATTTAACACGCAACAGCAGGCAACAGTACAAACAGACAATAAATACAAACAATAAATTATACAAGACACTGTATAATAAACTATGCAACCACATACATTAAACAGTAAATAATGAAGTTCTTATGAAGTTCGTAGTGTTTCTCTTCAGATATTTCAGAAGTTTTTCTTAGGAAAGCTAATGTGAATCTGCACCTAATTTATAATAAGTAAAAGTCATTCAAATTAATGTCACAATACTGGTTTGAAAAATCACAATTAGATATTTTCCCCAATCATTCAGCATAAACATTGTCAAAAATGCAGTGTATACAGATCAGTGTCAGTGAATATAAAGTGAGTGAAGTATAACATCTGATTTGTAAGTCACTGGGTGTGCAAGGTGTAATATATCTGATGAAAGTGTGGAATTGGGCCGATGGAGCAGTTCAGTCTGACCATCAGGCGGATTTGTCCAGAGGTTCAGCTGGACGCTGTGAACACAAATAAGACTCGAATGCCTGGGAGACTCAACTTCTGTAAAAACGTATAAAGTTTAGGCAGTGAGCCAAGTTAGTTCTCTGGCTATTCAGCCATGCAAATCAGTATATAAGAAGAGAATTAGAAGTGAGCAAAGCAAGCAAACTAACTAGGCTAGTTTCTGTGTCTTCTGTTTTCCTTCTTGATTGCAGATACAAACTACTGCCTCCTTGTGTTGTGGAGAGATTTTGTTTCATACAAGCATTTTTATTTATTAATGTTTTTAAAGAACATCAGCTTGATGTGTTCAGAAATTGTCTGGGTCTGATTTTGAGAACTCCTGCTCTGAGGAATTGGAATAATTTTACCATAACATCTAACATACAGTGCATTAATGAGGGGTGTAGTTAAGTGGGCAGCTACATCTCTACTGTTTCTGTTATAATGCTGCACTCTCTCCCTCATTTGGCTCTGCCCATCTTTTCTTCTGTTCTACATTATGAACGAAGAGACTCAAATAGCCCCACCAATCCAGTGAACTTTGTGACAAGAAAAAAAAAGTCCATTTAATTTCAACTGCATATGAATAATTTTGTCCAGGACCTGAAATATTAATTTTTCCTCTGTTTTTTCAGACATTTGGTGGACTTAATCTTTTTGCTCTGTGCAGATCATCTTTCTATTTACAGTAATGTGTCTGTGTAACATTCAGTTTGAAGTTATGTTAATAGAGAAATTAAAATACTTTGAATCGACAACAAGGAGTTTAAATTTATCCATCGTCTCGTCCTCCGTCTGTCACAATTTGGTGTCTGGAAGGAACTCATCTGGAGGCAGAAGTGCCATCAAATATCTTCCTTTTTTTAATTAATTAATTTATTTTTTACCCAAAAACATCTCACCAAAAAGATTAGAGAAGAAAGAGACACCGCGACTGGCTGGTGCTACACAGCCTCTTATCCATGCTGACAGGCAGTGTCATAGCAGTGGCACCTCTCCACTGGAAGAATTCAGATTTGAATGTATGAAAGGGATGACACCACATTTGTTCATTTCTGCTGAGAGGGCCCTGGACTTCCTTTGCTCAGTCCAGCTTCAGAGATTTGACTATGCAAAACGCAGTTATAATAAACTGAAGAGGAAAGTTGTCAGGGGGAATTTGCCAAAAATGCTTGTGCAAATGATCGAACTCCACAAGCTGAATTCCGTGGGAAAATTTTATTTATATTTGTGGCTCCATTATATTTGTGTATGGCCATGTTGTTTATATGTGTTTGCCACAGTTGTCTTTCACTGATTGGATGATGAAAAAGGGAATCCTGAACTTTGAACCTTGCCATAGACTTTCTAAAACGGAGAACACTTCCTGGTTTTAAGTGACACTGCCACTGTTTTATTCTTAAGAGTGTTTTGCATCGTCTGGCTTGTCTGATGTATTTTGAATACTTGCCATGTCAGTCTCCATACCCCATCCGCATGGATATTCAGTTCATACTCCTCCTCCTGTTTGTTTTAGAGTGTGGAGACAGTGTGCACGCTGTACCACTCCTTCCAGGAGAGTTCTGGAGGACTGATGGAGGGCCAGAAGGACCCTGCAGGCCCGGAGCCCACCCTGCTTAGGCCCTGCCCACGGCACATGTCTGCCACCGAGAGGCTGCGCAAGGTCATCCAGGAATTAGTGGACACAGAGAAATCCTACGTCAAGGTAAGAGCCCTCAAAAACCCTGTTAGCTAAGGAAGTCCATTTCTTCCATTGAAAACGGATATACAGTATCTCATATTAATGACTTGTCATTTATTGCTTACAATATCAAAATAATGTACAGTGCCGTAATTGACATACTATCTCATAATTATGACATTCTCAGAATTATGACTTGCTTTCTCATAATAATGACTTAAAATCTCATAATTATGACAAAATAGACATATTGTGACACACTAAATGGCCTTTTTTCCTCTCTCTAAGAGGCAGAGACAGGTCATAGGTAAATAAACAGATTTTTACAGATATTGGTGAATGAGGTCCATTGCTTTCCTCCAAGCACATTGCATAAAATTCTCTCTGAAAAGATTCAGTTCTTAAGTGTTGACACTGGATTGGCAGGTACTATACATGAAGGAAATTCAGGTAGCGTGTGGCAACTGACATTTGGAAGCTAATTGGGCAAAGAAACTACCTTCTCCTGCAGAGAAGGCAACTTAAAAGTCGATAGATGCTTCATTGATCCCCTGGGGACACGTAATTAATTTACTTCTTCACAGGTAAAGAAGAAGCAGCTCAGATGCCAGGGCTTATCAGTTTGCTGGATAAAAGCAGACATGGAGGCAAAGATCCAAACATAGAAAAAAAATATGTGGGCTGTACTTTACATTTACATTTTTCTACCTGTACCTAGTTGATGTTGCTGGTGAACCTTATAACAGCATTAAAGCTGTGCCCTGATGATGAGCACCTCTTGGTAATATGTGCCTGGAAAGCAGTTGATTATCCCCACAGCCACTGATTTGTTGGAGTGCTGTAGCAGAGTCCTGTGCCGGAGCAGGAGCCATTTGCCTATGATGTGCTGCGTTGGCACTGGTGGGCTGCAATAAATCAGCCTAACGAGAAATATCCAGGCTGATGCACTGACAGCCTGCCAGTTCCTTAACATGGCCACAGTGGGCACAGAAAAATCAGTGTGGGTGATGCTGGGCACCTGCTCATCTAGTGTTTCTTCTGAAATCGGGGTATTAACTGGGTGTTTATACCCCTGTTGTTGCAGTAACAGCCTCCACTTTTCTCAGAAGGCCTTACTAGTTGGAACGTTGCTGTGAGAATTTCAGCCACAAGAGCATTAGTGTGGTCCGTTACTGATGTTAAATGGTTAGTTTTGGATCACAAACATGTCTCTAACTCATCCCAAAAGTGTTGGATGGAGCTCCATCACTCCAAAGAATGCAGTTCCACTGCTCCACAGTCCAGGACTGTGAGCTCTGTAGCTGAGCCTTGACATTTGGCATGGTGACCTAACTGGGTGATGAAACTACCTTCTCCTGCAGAGATGGCAACTTACAGTTGATAGACGCTTTGCTGATCCCCTGGGGACACACAGTAAATTTACTTCTTTACAGGTAAAGAAGAAGCAGCTCAGATGCCAGGGGCTCATCAGTTGCTGGACAAAAGCAGACATGGAGGCATACATCCAAAAATCAAATATCTGGACTCTACTTAAATAATTGTTCTACCCATTCCTAGTTGATGTTGCTGGTGAACCTTATAACTGCTTTGAAGCTTCGTTGGATGATTAGTCCTGAGTCACTCCAGCTCATCCCGAAGCTACTGGATGGCGCTCTAGTACTCTAGAGAATGCAGTTCCACTGCTCCAGTGTTGTGAGCCTTCTAGCAGAACTTTGGCACTGGGCCTGGTGACCTTAGGCTCATGTGTGGCTGCTCCAGAACTTCCCGTTGTCAGTGCTCTTCTATAGCACATATATAAGCTGCGTGTGCCTGGCTGATCAGCTTTGTCACCCTATAGTAGCTGAATTCACTAATTAGCAGGTTGTCTGGATACTTTTGGTTATATAGTGTATGAAACAGTGAGAGAGAGAGAGGGAGAGATGAAAATGGAAGGAGGAATTGTATACGATTTGGAGGATCACCTCTGCACTAGTTTCACATCGCCAGAGGCTACGTCTAGAATCCTGGTCAGTGAGATTACCCATGTGTAGCTATCTGACTGATTCCTGTTCCCCTGTTAGGACCTCAGCTGCCTCTTTGAAATCTACCTGAAGCCTCTGCAGAAGGAGACATTCCTCACACTGGATGAGGTAAGGCAAAATATGAGCATTAGTTCTAATGCTAAAGCTTAGAGCTGGATGCATTAACCTTCAGAGGTCGCAGTTATTACCAGTGCTTACCAGTGTATGGTTTAAATTCATAATCTGTTTGAAACAAGCAGAAAATATTGGAGGAAAGTGTAGACTCTAAACTTTTGATACCCCATTTGTGTTTGTAGGGAGATATCATCAATGTTGTGTGTACAGTCTCGATTCTCAGAAAGATAATCCATCCTTTTTAATCCATCATTTTTTGCCATGTTTGTCATTTCTTGGCATCAGAACAAGCATAAAAGCTGCAGACTTGAACTAGTCAATATGGAATGTCAATTAAACCTCATTCTCTGCTGTTATTGTTTGCTATCTGGTGTCGAGCAGAGGAGGATGGGTTCCCCTTTTGAGTCACGGTTACCCTCAAGATTTCTTCCTCTTGCTCTTAGGGAGTTTTTCCCCTTCCACTGTCACCACTGGCTTTCTCACGGGGACTGTAAATAAACTTTGACTTGACTTGAAATATAAATGTAATTCATTCTGAACCTCATAATGTAATTAAAGGTCTATTTATGTAATTACATTTGAATAGTACAGCAGAATAAAAGTAATAATTCTCAACTTGTTATGGTTAAAGAAGAATTTGCAGAGACTTTCATTCACATCAACAATTCTAACTCATTTTCTCTGAAGTTGGTGAGCTGGCATGATCCCAATCTGCTCCCAGCTTGCTGTAACTGAAGCTAATGACCAGAATTTTAGCCTCACTGGTTTCCACACCACAGCCCACTAAACTGGGTCTGACCCCGAGATCCCTAAGGAGAGATCAGTCAATACGCAAAGAAGCGTGGGCCACATTAAAGATCCATTTACATGCTAGAACGTGCCTTTGCACAGAGCAAGCAGACTCAGAAAACAAGTGGCTGAGTACTGCGTTTAGGATAACCAGTGACTGAGTGATGTAGGTTTCTGTTCAGTGTTTGCAGTTCACTGGGTTGCTTTGTTCTTATTGTGTAATCTTGCTTTGATGAGTTTAGTTGGGGACACCACCAAACTCTGATTTATCTCCATTTAAAAATGTGATCCTCCTTTCTTACAACGACAAAATGGTTCTTAGGTTCTGCATGTATTTTTTTTTATGAGGCAGATCATTTAAATAAACTGTTTAGAAATTAGTAGCTCTGTTGGTTTGACTATATTTCGTCTCCCTCCAGATGGAGAGCTTGTTTGGTAGTCTGCCGGAGATGCTGGACTTCCAGAAGGTTTTCCTGCAAACGCTGGAGGAGAGAATAGCCTCCTCTCCAGACTTCAGCACCCTGGAGACTCCTGTGCAATTCAAGGTAAGAGACACTACAAACGCACGAGCACACATTAGAATGAGGTGCATCAGTGCTCAAATGAGAAAAGATGTCCATACTTTCTATAGATGTCTATATGATGACCAGCAGAGGAGAATGGTAAAGTTACATAAATTGTACTGACAAGGCATAGAGAGTGTTTTTATGGCTTCAGTGGGCTGGTAGTAGGGTGTAAGTGCACGCTGTCAGTAGTGAGAGAGATCATAGATGTGAAGATGGGGGAGGGCGTCTCGGTACAGTCTGAGTCGGCGGTGCACGCAGCACGTCTCGGCTTGGACGGGCATTCTCTCCACAGCTCTGGTTGATTTCAAAGTCTCTCTCTCTGTGCTTTCCTAAAGGTTGAATAGTGCTCTGCCTCTTTCGTTTTAATTTTAACATCCTGTCTGTGTCTCATGATTCATCTCTCTCTCTCTCTCTCTCTCTCTCTCTCTCTCTCTCTCTCTCTCTCTCTCTCTCTCTCTCTCTCTCTCTCTCTCCCCACATTCCAGAAGCTGTTGTTTTCTTTGGGTGGATCCTTCCTCTACTACGCTGATCACTTCAAACTCTACAGCGGCTTCTGTGCCAACCACATCAAGGTCCAGAAGGTTCTGGAGCGAGGTACAGCCCAATCTCCTACATCCAGAAGCTCATTGCAGTCAAATTGCATCATTATCATAGAAATAGCAAAATTAGAATATTCCTGTCCTTTAGGAATAAATAATAGAGCCTCAGTTCAAGTCATAAATTCTGTGTGGTTCCTCCGGCAAAACTCCTGTTAAGTAGTGACACCCCTCCCCTCCCCCACATTCAAGTGTGTAATTTCGCCTGTGGTATTTTTCATCCTAATATTTTCGAGCCTAAGAACAGTAATCTGTTTTCCTCCTATAAAAAAAGTAAGTAAGCTGACCATTTTGCCACATATCCTTCAATTTCCTCCTGTGCATTTAATCTTTGCATTAAAATGCACCCTCAGCTTCCCGGCAGTGCCCTGCGTTGATGCAAAAAAGAAGTGGAATACATGTGTATATACAGCCATCAACTGAGTGTCTGTCACTACTTTAGAAGGCGTAAGATTCGATTAAAAATTAAAATATTCAAAAACAGAAAAGCTATTCTAATAGCCGACACGCTGACCGCTTTTATGAAACCATGCATTTTGATGGGAAGACAAATGTTTATCAAGACATGTAATAGTCACTAGTGTGGTTTGGCTAGCAAGTCTCATTTTGAGGTGGCAGTATGACCTTAAAAAAGAATCCCACCAATTTTTCAAAATATCTTCATAATTAAGTGGTTAAGATGTAAAAGAAGTCATTCAGAGTGTTTTGATGTGAAATTGTTAATTGTGGAGAAACTTACTGGCTCAGATTTCCTTGCAGTGGTGGTGATAGGAACCAGGGATGAAGAGATCTGCAAGGATGAATGAATTTATTAAAAATAAAAATTGTCCAGCATCAGGCAGTGAATTCGTAATCATTTAATGCAATAACTCGTTTAGGTAGGCCTTAAACTCTTAAACCATGTGGTTCCCATCACCACCACTATGAAAACGTCTGACTTGCTAAGTTTCTCTAGAATGGAACATTTCACAGCAAACCACGCTGAGTGACAATTTATTTTTTGAAAAATGGGTGGAATTCCCCTTTAACAGTCCAATTAAGTTTCCTGCTGCTGTGGATTGGTTTGCAGTTAGCATGTTCTCAGTTGCATTTATTACCGAAAAAAAATCAAAACAGAGCGTGCAGGTTAGTGAGGTGTTCAGAGCTGTAGGAAGATTAGAGCCAACGTGCCTGAGTTTAGCATGGGCTCCTGTATAAAGCAATTTTTTGTTTTTTAAAACCTTGATAACTCCCCTGTAGAGCTGTTCAATGATACTATTTATTGTTGTGATAAATTACATTATAAAATGTCACAATAAGCATTTTTGAGCATGTTGATATTGCTAATACTTAAAAACCACGCAACCCTGCAAATGCATGTTTGATTACAAAAAGAGCACAATTAGTCCTGTTTAAATTTAGTAAAGCAGTGTGTAAAACACTGAATACAAATATTTGAACTCATAGTTTTTGATAGTATTTTTAACATGTGGGTTTACTTTGTCTAACGTATCAGAAATAACAAATGTTGTGACGTGTTTTGTAGAAAACTTCAAGTATTGTGATATTTTGCCATTTTGCCCACCTCTACTCCCCTGTGCATTGAGCAGCTCACCAAAATGTTGTCTGCATTTGTAAGATGATGGCTAAAAATACACTGTTTCCTCTGCTTTCCTGCACCGCTAACTGGTGTTCAAACTGAGCAAGCAACCTGTTAAGGGTTGCCAGATTTGGCAAGATCCCCAATTTTGCATTTTCATGCAACGTTCATGAGATTTTTTATTTATCAGGTTTTTGTACCTTGTAGTATTTTAATTAGGTTATAATGGGAAAAAAATAAGTAGAGCTTGTGCTATGGTGCATAATAACAATAATAATGACCAGATCATGGCAATCAAAATATGTACAGCTGTGTGCAAAAGTTTGGGCGCCTCAGTCAAATGACATTTTGTTGATTGTCTAAGTGAAAATAAGTTACCACACTCTCTACAGAGAACACACTTCTGCACAGTTTAATGAACAGTTACTGTTTATTTGCCATTTGTTTATTTAACACATTGTTTTGTAAAAATCAAAATTAATGGCCTGTGTAAAAGTAATGGCACATTTTTTTGTATTTTTTTTTCCCAATATGTTAAACTCAGCAAATAAATAGAAAATTGTGCACTAACATTTGGAGGAAAATGTCATATTTATACTTGCTTGCTGTAAAGGACGTTTTTATGCTGTAAAGGATTTTTTTCAGAAAATCAACAAAAGGTAATTTTAATGAGGGGTATTTAAATGTTTGCATGCGACTGTACACACATTTTAATACAAGGTCTAAATGGGGTTTTGGCCTCCAAGCTGGATGCCTGCTCTATAATAGTGATAGGATCATTAAAAGCTTACACTACAGACTCATAATTTTGAGTCTGAGAGTGTGACTGAATATAAATGTTGAACTTAATTTATGCTTGCAACATTGGCCTGGTTTTCAGGCTCGGGCAGACTGCCCAGTGCAGAATGAATGAAAGAGTCAGCTGGCCTGTGAGTATCAAGGGGGGGGGAAATTGCACCCCAGCGTCTCTTTAATTCGTCCCATTACAGGATCAAAGCAACAGTCTCGCAAGCAGGTACAGAAATGAGTGTTTAATGTGGCGAGGGGAAACCTGATGTTTCCACAAAACCTTCACGTACCGTTGGGTCGTCCCGTGACCTGCTTCGCACACAGCTCATGCAATGAGGGGTGCGCGTTGGCGTCTGTCAGCAGTCTTCGTAATTGCGCATTCTCACATACTGCTTCTGTTGTGCCAAGAGTTCTGCTCGTGCAGCGATAAAGATTTTTTTTTGTGTCAACTTGTTAATTGCCTGCCAATTACTCTCTGAAGTGTCAGTGCGGCTGTGGCGTGGAGTGCCTCAATAATTGCTCTAATAGCTCCTCTTGAACCGTGCATGAATGCAACCAATATCTCTGATACTTGGTGCACAAAAAGGGGTGGCGCCGTTCAAGCCCTCCAACAGTCATTCATTTCAGAAAAAAGCAGCTTCATCTCTGCTTGAAGCGTGAATCAGCAGTGAGCTGCAGGAGTGCTCTTTCAGAGAAGGACCGCCAACACGCCAACTGCATGGCTCCTCCCCCCCTCACCTTGTTGTTCCCCAGTATCTGCAGTGTTGCCATTTTACTGCAGTGATCGTAAAAGAGGCGTCGCACAGCCTGTGCTGCCTCCTTGTGGACGTGTGATGTGGCATGAGCAGCACACGTAGCCTGAGGCCAGCTACATGCAGCCCTAATGAAGTCCTAAACGTAATGCAGGTTCTTCTGTATGTCTAGCTAAAACAGATCGAGCCTTTAAGGAGTTCCTTGATGCAAGAAATCCAACCAAGCAGCACTCCTCTACGCTGGAGTCCTACCTGATCAAGCCGGTGCAGAGAGTGCTGAAATATCCCCTGCTGCTCCGAGAACTGGTGTCTCTGACTGACACGGACAGTGAGGAGCACTATCACCTCACAGGTACATCACAGACACATTCCACCATCTGCGACACGTTAATCAAGCTTTCACTTAAGAAGTAACCAATAGCAAAGAAGACGAGATATCATCATGGAAAATGGGAAAGGATATTCTTTAAAATATGTACTTTTAAAAGAGGAATCTTCATGTTTGCATTTGGCTTTATGTGACGAACTGAAAACTCACAAGAAGTGGTACTTCATAATTGTTACAGAGGCCTTGAAAGCTATGGAGAAAGTGGCCAGTCACATAAATGAGATGCAGAAGATCTATGAGGATTATGGCACAGTATTTGACCAGCTGGTAGCTGAACAAAGTGGTCCAGAAAAAGAGGTATGGCATCAAATCTGCTGTTGGCCTTTACAGTTCCCACAGCACTTTACACATGACTAATGTTTCTCAGGTAGTTTTTTTCCATTTTGAAATATGTTATTTAAAAAAAAACTCCATTTTTGTTTTTCTGTCTAAGGTCACAGAAATTTCCATGGGAGAATTCCTCATGCATTCCTCTGTGATCTGGCTCAACCCGTTCCCATCTCTGGGCCGCATGAAGAAGGAGCCTGAGCTGACTGTATTTGGTGAGTGGCCGCTGGGCTCATGCCCACTTTCTTCTGATGGAATAGTCACATAAAATGGATTTTTTTTAATAGCCATGAGAGCAACTGGCCATGCTTTTACTGGGTGGGAAAATGGCTGGGAATGTGTTTCAGTATACACTATATGTCTAAAAGTATCTAAACACCCCTTCTAAGTGGTGAATCCCGCTGCTTTAAGGTGCACCCATTGCTGACACAGGTGTTTAGTTGTATACATACATATTGTATAATCACCATAGAAATGCATTGCCAATACAATAGGACATGCTGGAGCAGCTGCAAATGAGCCTACGGTCACTGTGCCCAATGCCAAGCATCAGCTAGAGGCATATAAAGCCCACAGTATTTTGCTGTAGAGCAGTAAAACTGCATTCTATGGAGTGATGGAGCTCCATTCAGTATCTTTGGGATGAGTTGGAGTGATCCAGAACTGATCTTCAAACATCAGGACCTGACCTCACTAATGCTCTTGTGGCTGAATGCAATCAAATCCTCACAACAATGTTTCAACATCTAGTGTAAAGAGCCTTCCCAGACAAGTACAGTCTGCTACTGAAGCAAAGGGCACCCTTTTAATACCCTAGATTGCAGAAGAAACACTGGCTAAGCAGGTGTCTATAAACTTTTGGACATATAGTGTAGAACAGTGACATCCAGATATCATAAGCTCTGCTGCAGCTGGTTTATTATTCATTCTAGGATTCTGAGATTCTTGAAATTTAACTGAACAAAGAGCTGGTTAATAAAAGCTATTTTGGTGACACTTTCTTGGAAAGACTTGGAATGCCCACTACTTTTCCATAACCCTTTCCCATGAGATCTTGATAACCCACAGGATGCCCTCAGTGGCATTTAAAGTCAAAGTTTGTGTGTGATATATTAGCTGTCCGCCATACAAGCATATTATGAGTAATTTATTGCGGTACTTAGTATAATTGATTGTATAAGAACTTGGTCATAAAAGGGGGGCAAAAAAATAAAGATGTTTTTGGTCCTGCTCCAGTAGCTATCATGTTCTATAACTGACTATCTGTGATTTATGCAACTGGTTTTCCATGATTTCACAAAAAGAGATGCTGCAGTGCCATTTGTCATTCAGCACTGGGATTATTGAGATTGCTTATAACTGTTGCCAGCTATGTAACTGTAACACTGTTTCCTGTTTCCTCTGTGAATTAGTTCTAACATCTTTATGAAAAATGAAAATGTAAAGGTTTTTTCATATAAGTCCCTGCATTTGAATGGCTCCCAAGCTCACAAGAAAGGTCTCTTTTTTTTCCTCTCTCTTAAGTGTTTAAGAAAGCGGTGATACTGGTCTACAGGGAGAGCAACAAACAGAAAAAGAAAATAGTGAGTCTCTTCACTTTGACGCTCAACCTGTCAGTGCAGTGAATACACTGGCAAATTAATCAAAGTTGACCTTTTATTTTTCCATCCTTTCTTTGTTTCTGTGTCTGACAGAATGTTCCACGTTCTGCACACTCTCATGGAGATCCAGACCCCTTTAAATTCCGCTGGCTCATCCCCCTGTCGGCGCTGCAGGTTAGGCTGGGCAACACAGCAGGTAAGGTGCCCTTTAACTTTGACTAGCCAGCCACTCTCCCTTATGATGGCCAAATCTCAGACTGATGCAAATCAGCTGTAATATATACTAATAATCATCTTTTCAATTCTGGGCACAGAAACCAACTGTGTCTGGGAGCTGATCCACACCAAGTCAGAAATAGAGGGCAGACCAGAGACAGTGTTCCAGCTGTGCAGCAGGTGGGAGACAGGCTTGTTCAATTCAAAAATAAAGTACTAATTTATACCTGACAAGACGCTGAATGTGGCCATCGCTCTCTCATTCAGCATGCCAGAGTGCAAAGTCAGCATCGTCAAGGTGATCCGCTCCGTCTTGAGGGAGAACGTGCGACGGGGCATGCGTGGAACCGAGCGCCCAGCTGATAGAACCTGCAAGGAGCGCTTAACTCCTATGAGGAGAACTCTCCCTTCTTCTGCTAAGCTTGGTCAGTCTTTTTCCTCATTTGCTGGTTGATTTGCTGCCCCTTTGCTGGAAGAGTTAAAGGGGTCGTTCAGAGTGGTTTGATGTGAAAGGGATAATTGTAGAGAAATTTACAGACTCAGGTTTCTATACAGTGGTGGTTATAGGAACCAACGGTTGCAGTGTCTACACTGTGAAGCCATTTATTCATACATACATTCATTCATTCCAAAACCACCAGTGAACTGAGTTTTATATGTCATGTTAATAATGGTAAAATAGTGGTAAATCTGAAAGGGGAACAAAAGGTTTTCTCTGGGGACTGTTCTGCCTTGCCCTGCATGTATATCTCCATACAGGAATGTGTTAAAAAAATAGTTTTAAGCCAAAACCTTATTTTAAAACTATCATAAAACAATATCTCAGGCATGTATTCCTGAATAACGCTCTGTGAGGAATTGAGCTTTTGGAGGCATTAAGATCTCTGTTTTCTGTCAACACCACTGTAAAAAATTCTAAGACTTTATCTTAACAATTTTATAGTGCATTTTTTTTTAAATAAGTGGAATTTAAACCCAAGCATGAACTGACGTAACCCTACTGCTGATATCCATGCAGAAAACAGACAGTGATAGCAAAGTGGCTGGACCAGATGGTTGCACTTTCACTTAGGAAGGCTAACATCTGTGTGTTTGTGGGTGGATGTGCATGTTTTGCAGGTTCCTCTCGAGCTTCCTGGCTTTGCAATAAGCCTATAGATGTTCTTTCCTATGCCAAAAGTGACCAGCTGAAGCCCCCTCTCCTCGATTCTGATTCAGCCAGTGAGAGTAGCGGGACGCCCAGCAGCAGAGGCCCTCCTCTGGACCCGCCCACAGACCCCCAGCCTGCTGAGGCCAGGCATCCAGCCATTGGACCGAGCTGCATTAAAGAATCAGACATCCTTGGTGATGAGAGTAACGAATACAGTGAGTGTTTAGGTCAACATGACTCAGTTGAGGCTCAGCTCCGTGAGCTGCGCCTGACTGAGGTCCCACAAGCTCCACGTGTCCAGCCCGAAGGAGGAGAAGTGGACACTCCTGAGAGACAGCCTCAGCCGCAGAGACATCACTTCCGTGCAGTGAAACGCAGGCCAGGCGGAGACGGTAGTAGCTTTAGGCGCAGCCAGGGGGCACTAGTGAGCATGAGGCAGCACAGCCGCTCTCTGGACAGCCAGTCGGAAACAGCAGTGGTCAGTGTGGACCTCAATGCCCTGCTGGAGCGAGAGTTCAGCGTACAGAGTCTGACCTCGGTGGTTAATGAGGACTGTTTCTTTGACAACGCCACCGAGAAACCAGAGGGCAGCGCCATGGCAACAACTTCATAGCTAACCTGCACCTGACCTGCTGTCCGATTCCAAATGACTTCTGTCCCCTCAGAAATCAATCAGTCATTTCAGGCCCATGAGGAGTGAACTGTACCTGAAGAGGACTACGTCAAATACCTACTGAATGTCGAGCTGTGTGGGTTCACTTCAAAGTCTTCTGTGCTGCCTTTTTACATAGCTGGCAACTGAGGAAAAGCCAACTTTAGTCAAAGTCATTTGATTAAAAGAAAAACTTGTGTAGTGCCACATTCACAGTACAAATGCACCGATCTGATACACTGGATCAGTATCGGCACCGGTACGATTAAATGGAGCGAGTATCGTTACAGATCCACGATTGAAGCTGTTTCTTAACCAAAGTCGCTCGAAAATAGAAGAGCGTCATTCCAAAACACGGTACTCACTTTGTGTTACAATGGAACTAAAGGCTCTGCATAAGCTAATAATCATGAGTGATCATGTTACAGGCAAACCTATTGTTTCATCTCCTTAAACGAAGTGTTTACAAACGTGAAATGGGCCACATGTTTCTCTACAGTGCTGCAGCATTTCAAAATAAATGCCTCTCTTAACAAGGCGAGACAGCACATCAGAATAAAAGCTATGTCCAATTTTCTAATTCTGCTGTGCTTCACACCAGCTTTGTCAGCAAATAATTATTAAAACTTTCAGCTTAACGTCAGCTACAAAAAAGTCAGATTTTTGGGTGGTTTATAAAGAGTGAGATAATGTGATAGCCCCAAAATAAACTGGAAGAATACTGTTGTATGTGAAATACTAGTTTTACAAATCCCTAATTACCAAATTTTCTTCAAATAGATATATCATGTTTTGGAATGGAACTCTTCCATTGTAACAGCACATGATATGAGGTATACAGATTTTAAACTGAAGGAGAACAAGAAATAAAAATGGATCTGTACACTGGATGTTGAGTTAAGAATCGGTATCGGAAGAGTAGAAAGTTGTTGGTGCCTCCATAATTGACAGATACTTTTACTAAAACTGATTTTCCCCCTAATCAACATTAGTCTGTACCAGTCAGTTTTGCGCCAACAAGCTAATGTGATTTTCTCTTTGATACAAGCTTGATTTAATAGCCTGAGTAATGATGCAAAGTAAAGTCAGTCAGCCCACACACACATACACACACACACACATATATGAAAGCACACACACATTGCGACTGGTACTATTGAAGCTGTGCTTTGCCTCCAGTCTTAACAGAAGTGGAGGCTTCAGAAACAGCTACAGGAATAATTCTTTTTTTTCAGACTCTGCCTTGCTGTATTTTGTTTTGTGCACTACATACACATTTTGCCTACATTTTAGCTTTTGCTTTTATTTTTATTTGTACATCATGGAGTCAGTGGAGTTTTTAAACATTTTTTAAACATTATTTATTGATAGTTTATATTTCTTTTTAATAGGAAGCCAAACTATGGGTTAAGACTTGATTTTTCTTGAAGTAAACAACACAGACAGGAGCTCTGCAACTGAACCGGACACGGATTGTAATGTAATTTATCTTGATTAGTAAGGCAGCCATGATGTGTAGTGACCAGTGTACAAAACAGTCACACTGTCAGATACAATCAGCACAGATTAACTGGAATGTGCTGTGTTGGGTATTTGCCATAAAAAGTTCATTTTTTTTAAATGTTCAAATATGTATAGTATTTTTTTTTCACAAATTACTGTACTTTAACTTAATTTTTAATATTGTATATCCCTTTGACATTTCAAGAATTTAAAAAGTGCTGTAAATGTAATAAACAATGTTTGGTAACATGGTGGTGTGGAGAGTTTTTTGAATAACAAATAAAAATTCATCTGATGGTCGTAGCAAATGAGTGTATAAAGGATTGGGTTGAATATTGACGACGCAAATACGGTCATATTGATCTTTTAGTCTCTTCTTTGCATCATGGATATTAAGGCCTGTCTAAGAAAGAACCACAATCAAAAACTGAGAACTGAGACTGAGCAAAGATTTTTATATATATATTTCTGCTTTTTAATCCATAAACATGAATATTTAACCACTTAAAGTATATAAATTTATTTATGCACTGAGGTTGCCTCAACAGTTTCCTCTCAAGTCTTTGACAGATAGTGAACATTTTTCTCTGAGAACCTTGACATAATGGAACCACTTTTTGCTGTGAAGTGATTAAAGCATTCCTATAGCTTTAGAATATGACAGCATTTCAGAGTATGTCACCTCTTCTCTTCAGCCCTAACCTCCCTAGTGAACACCATGCATAAAAGGGGAAGATGACCCAAATTAGAGAAACACTTTATTTTTTCTGCCCAAGCTGTCCACAGATTCTCTTTGGTCAGACTCCTGGCTCATAAAGGCCCTTCTGTTATCGCACTGTTGCAAATTTGGAGGATTACAAGCGCTTCAGCATTTTTTGTCCCCACTGGCATTTTCATTGCTTGTTATTTATTTATGCTTTTTTTTTATTTCAATCTGCAGTTCCTGAACTACAGACTTAACGCGATAAGCCTTGGCAATGACCCTAATACAACCCAGAACATATCTAACCAAGCCAAGGCCACTGTAACTCATTCCCTTGTTCCTGCCACAGTTACACTTCAGCTGGCCATTTGCCACGCTCTCCAATCCAGGAGAGACGGGAAGGAATGGTGTAAAAAATTCATGCTCATGCCCCAGTGAAAATGTCACCACTAAGAGCAGTCCGTTGTCTCCCCGCGCGAACATCGGCCATTAACATTTCTCTTTCTTTATCGAGTGGTGAGGGTGAGGTTCTTTGCTTTTGCGTCTCTGGCTCTGATGTTTTTGTCTCAGCTCTTCTCTGAAGTCATAGCCGATCAGTTCACGGTTTTCCCTGCACAGCCTGCCATAGGCATCCGCTAGGGCCCGGAAGTGGGCCATGGAGAGCTGCGCAGGCCGGAGAGTGGGGTCAACATCGGCGCTGCGTAGAAGCTCCTCAGCCAGCTCGAGCCGCTCGGCCTCGGGGAACAGCATCCTGCGGGGAAAAAGAGGGAAGCATCACATGCTGACTCCACGAGTTAGCATTAAGAAGAAGAAAGGCTGGCATGGAAGTGACATGGTGCGTTCTGTGCAGATGTTCGCTTAGCGCTGCCCAAACAAAGAGAGTGCCAACGCATGCTGTTGCTGCAGCTGCTGCACTTACATAAGTTCACTCCTCGTATCACTATGACATCCCAATGACTCATAATTGCTGCTCTTCTTGCACAGCTTCCTTTGTTAAATGGGCCCTAACGTTGCTACGCCCCCGAGTAACTTCGGAGGACTAGCGGGAGCGCAGCTATGCAGCAGGGACAGCGGGATCTGTAAGCCCTGAGCAAACTATCACTGAATAAAAAGGACAGGAAAGTAGAGAGTGGGGATGTGAAAAGGTGTAGAGGAAGGAGAAGAAGAAAAGAGCTTACTCGAGTCCTCTGTGGCAATGCTTCCCCCGGAACTGGAAGACGTTCCTGACCAATTTCTCCACGAGCTTAAAGGGCTGCTGGATCTGGGGCTGAGCCAGAGGAGTGAAGTGTACCACCCCCACATCCACCTACACACACAAACACCACAGGAGATAAAAGGCACATACATAAAAGTAGATAACGATGGTAGAGCAAGACTTCAAATCACACTGAAGAGCAACACCCACACGCACACCCACATGTAGACACATCCAGTGCTGGATGGATGGAAGGAAAGAGTGGTAGAAGAGGAGGGGGATGACGCAGCATGTGATGGCAAGCCAGCTCCAGTTGCCACAGTAACACCTGTTTGAAGGGCCATGAAAACAAGCCTCTTCAGATATGAATACTAAGTAAGGCTCTTGTTGCGCTGCTGCTTGCCGAATGTTTTGCAGCAAAGCGCATGAACATGATACAGGCACTGTTTGCAGCCTCCAGCTTTTAAAGGAGTCAACCTTTCACAGGCTGTAACCTGAAGGTGGGTGATTGTATTAGGACGTCAGGACTGGACCCATTTCGAGGGTGAAGGAGGTTGGCCTTCGCTTCTCTCCATCCCTGCTGCCTCGCCAATCCCCCCAGTCAGCGCTAAGCTGATATGACAAACTGTTGAAGTAATCGTGCCAGACCCAGCAGAGCCCTGCTCCTCCTCAGATCTCCCTCCCTCGCTCATTCGTTTTCTCTCTCCTTCTCCCCGCCGAGGGACGCCTCTTTCCTTTCATTGTAAGCAATAAAAAGGAATTGCGCACAAAAGAGCCACACTGCCACTCGCGGCGAAGCAGACAGCTGCCAAACCCGAAATTGAAGCATTTTCCCTCTTGATCTGAGCGCGTGTCGGGAGGCTGCGAGAGCTGTTCCCGCATGGGGCTTCAAAGGGGGTCTCGCCCTGAGCCCCCCCGCACCAGGACCCGACCTGCAGCAGAGCGGGGAAGAGGGACGCCTGCCGCCAACGGTGAGCTGAGGGACCGGAGGAAAGCGTCTAGTCGCATACAGTGTGGTTTTATTGGAGCTCTCTGGTGGATATTCTGAGGACTAAATGGACTAAACGAAAGGAAGGCTTAACGCTCCATCTGGAGGATGCAGACATGGTAACAGCCATATGACGGTCACTGACATCACAAACAGGTATGTATCCAAAGTCTCCTGCTAACCACTATCTACTGTCATGTACTCAATGAGTATGAAAGTGTTTAATTGCTGTTCCTGCCTCCCTTTTACTCTTGCCCTTTTTTTTTCGCATGGGCAGGGGGGTGGCATAATGGGTATTTGGAGGGAGGGAAGAAACATAATTAGTCCAGGGAGAGAAGAAAAACTCTGTAATTGATTTGCTCTGGATTCCTCCAAGCTGCACTTAGCTCAGCTCTGCACCGGCTCAACTTTTTGCCTAAGCTGCTAGTGCTGCAGTGATGCAGGACAGCCCTCAGGCAGCAGTGTAGGCTTCTAGGACCACTGCAAGTGATGCACTTCTGCTTAGAAATCAATTAAGGACAAGATACGAGGCTTTGGAACGCCGGCTCTGCTTTTGGGGCCACAAAGACTGCCGCATTACGCCCGAGCTGTCTGAAAAGGGTAACTGTGACAGCAGCTATCAGAAGCCATTGACTCATCTGCATCATTGTGCAGAAGGAGCTCAGACACTAAGGAAATCAATTTGGCCACCTGTCACTTATTGAGGTGAGGACGCTGCTTTTAAAATGCTCCCCCTCCTGCAGTAGCTGTACGAAAATGCAGCCACAGCCAGGAAGGTCCCCCATCTGCTGTAAAGTGGCAGCGGAAAAAGAATGCCTTTAATTCTGCTCCCTCCTGAAGTAATTAGACCATTTATATTCCGCACCTCATGATTTAGGAGGGCAGCTGGGGTAAGTCGATATTGCGACTATACATGCAGCAGCATTTCAGCCACCAGGGCTGTCCCAGTCACTTTGGAGGGTGATTTATGAAAACGGCAGCTACATGTCCTCACTTGCTGCTTGGTGGTAATATATCCAGCTCCCGCCATTAATCCTCTTCTGATAACCTTAACACGCGAGAAACTTTCATCTTAAATCACCTCAGTACTGCCCCCCCCAACACCATCGCTGCCTTGAAGATGCACCCAGTGTGTCATACTCTGCCTTTAAGTGGAGCTCCTGTGCAGCAACCTGAGAATGACTCCTTAACCTGCTTTAGCCCTTTACTCTCTCCCTCCATGACACTCATTCATCTTGTTTTCTCCAAGCAGTGAGGTAACATCTTGGAGAATGTAATCAGGACCAGTTAAATTAAAGTGGGTTTCATTTTCTTGCCTATGCATTTAAAGAGAGGAAAAACAAACAAATCATAACCCCCAATGAATTCCACATGAATTCTGCCCTCCAAATTGGCTCATTACATAAGACTCTACATTCACACTAATAAAAACCCCTTTTCTCTCCAGCTAATTTAATCCTATTTTTTCCCTCTACAAAGACTTCATTTATGCAGTCTCTGGAACTACTGTACTTGTGCTCTGTATTCATAAACTAAGCCACAGTAACCAGCAACCTTCACTTCCACAGCTCTCCAAGTATGTGGCCCTAATCTTGGGCAATACCCTTGAAAAATGTTCTCAGAAACAAAGGGAAACTCTTATTCTAACTATGGTTAAAAAGAGCCTAACAAACATCCCAGAATATATTAGTCATCACACTTGATAAGGTAGTGGTGTTTCTTGGCCTAATAAGTGTTTTTCAAATGAAAATACATTAATTTGCAAAATCTGGTGTAATTCACAGTACCATTTAAGTCAAACTGTTCTGTAAAAACAAGCTGTAGGAGCAGAGTGAGTTACAAATTAGGGACACATAAATATATTAGAAACCAATATTATTGGTTTCTAATAAATTCATCGGCAAAATTGTAAACAAGGGTCACCCTCAATGTTCTCCGAGGTTAAATAAAGGTTGATTGATTGATTAGAATCAGATCTGTGTCAGCAGACAGTTGTCTGTATTCAAGTGATATGTAGATTTGACCAATCTTTCAAACCAATATTAATGTATTTATTTGACTCCAGAAGAGCTGGATGCTTTAGGCGGTGCTGGGTTCCTGTGGAAAAATGCCAGTACTATACACACTTTACTGCATTTTTAACCCTCTACAAATATGTTGCATGTCTCTGTAATGCTGCTGGTCTAGGCCCAAGTTCTACATTTTATAAATGCTTAACCATCCACATCTGTATCATCCTCTTCATTATGGACAAACTATCAGATATGGGCATCAGAATTCCCGTATCAGTGCATCACTATTTCAAATGGCAACTTAAGCAAAGAAATCAAAAAATATATGCACTCATGGAAGTTCACTGCACCATTACAAGTGTTTGTCTTCAATTGCTTTACTGTAGGAGAGAGATGATGTCCAGTTATTGTGTTACGAAATTTAAACCCAATTTGCCAACCTTTTCCTGAATCCACCTTCATTAATAACCTCCGCATAAGACATAACCTACACTATATTTGTCCTCATAATTCTCAAAGTCCCCTCACCCATTTTCACCTGAGTGTCGATGCTCCATCCAACACAAGTGTGAACAGTTATTTGTCATTTCTTATGGAAAATGATCAATTTTAGGTGGCAGCCCCTCAGGGCTAATGGGAACCCATCATTTCCCTTACGTAATGAGCAGCAAAACAATGGAATACTCAGCTGGGGAATACATAAACCAAAGAGGGAGAGAGAACAGTCCTGCAAGAAGGAGAGATGCATTAATCATGATGGCCCATTCAAAAGAAGCACAATTACTTCAGTTGCAGTGAGGTCAGTGAAAGGAGAATGTGAGGAACCAGTTCACAGTGGGTTGTGTTTGCTGCAGCTGCTGCTGCATGCAAGGTACTTCCCCATCCTCCACGAACAGCCCAAGGCATGGATGGGAAGCCAAAGTGCTGCCTGATCTCTGAGCATCTCAGCAGAGGTGATTCCCCAAGAGAGGCTCTCTAGGGGCCCTTAAAATGAGCATGTGATGAGACAAGGCAAGATGGACAGGCAGGAAAACATTTAGAGCTGTCTCAAAATGGAAAACCAAGCAAAATGTCTTGCTATTTTTGAATAACTGTCATGCGAGTAAAATATCTGCAAAATAAAATCAATCTTGGTAATAAACCCAGTAAAAACACACGCGAGACGCCTTCACAACAGAAGAGTGTTTACAATTACTATTAACAAGAATGCTGCTTTTAGTATGAACACGGTTATTCCCTTAGCAGTTGAAACAAGGCTGTTTTGACAGCTACATTTACAGTTATCAGATGGCACCTTTAGCCAAAGCTGTGAAACATGTAGGGCTTTGATGCAAAAAAAAGCAATTAAATGCTGAAAATAAAGCCAATGCAAATTGGACATAAAATCCCTCATGTAGAGAAAGGACAATCTCCTTGTCCAGTCAAGCCTCAGCGAAGAGCAGCAAGAGGTGATAAAATCAAGGCACCATACTTATAATAGCTTTCCATGCCTTCACACATCACCACCTCCCACAACCGCACTCCCTAGGCACATGTTAACAGCCTACACACCCCCCCACCCTACCCTGCCATGGCTTACTTCGTTTATTTTTTTATTTTGCTTTCTAGCATGGTTCCAGCATCAGCACTTAGGTTCTCCTTGGTGAGGTGACAAATATCAGGGAACAGAAACTGCAGGTTGTTTCATCTCTGCAACCCACCGGGGCCTGAGAACATGCCGACTGAAGGTCAGCACCACCAAAGGTAGGGGTGTGTGCTGTTGCTAGGGCTTGCGTTTGGTTTGCTGTGGTGCATTTATTGATTCTGAGTGAAGGGGATGTCAATGAGAAAGACCATGAAGATAATCAACTGGCCTACAACACACACGTCCTATGTTTGTGGTTCACATTGGCTTCCTTGAGTTGAGCTTTAACAAAACAAAGCTAAGGCTGAATGCATCGTATTTGTTGTGGCACTGAGTTGTCGTAAAATAAGCACAGTCTATGTTTTATCCTTCTCTGCCCTCTTTGTCATTCATGAATCAAGGCCGTAGCGCCACTCCCTCGCTCTCCTCTTCGTCCTCTGCAGAGGAGAGAGAAGTATAAAGGGGGATGGGATAGGATGGGATGGGATGAAGGAGAGAGGGGGGTTCAGAGGAGCATCGGCTATGGCCGTCTCCTGAAGAGTAGATGTGGATGCTCCTGCTGTAGAGTGAGATGTATTCTGTATATGCTGTGGGATGCTGAGCCAAGCTGAGGGATCACCTTGAAAACCAAAGAAAGAGAACAAGTCCTTTGACACACACAGTAGCTTGAACATCTGGCCAAATGTGAAATGAAGGATACAGTTTTTTTTCGTACTCAGGTATAACAATTTCAGGTAGAAAAAAAATAAATTATGCAAGATAAAATAAGACTTCCTTTGTATTTTATATGCATGCAAGAATGACAGTAATAAATAAATGGCAAAAAATCCATCTGATGTGGTTGAAATATTTTTTTTTTCTTTCTGGAATACTAATTATCAAATTATTATCAAAGTAAACATTTGTTTAGCTAATGTTAGCTCGCTAACCACTTTTTCATATTTTCCACTTTATCTTATGGCTCTCTTAGTACAATGTGTTTTGTCAAAAGCAAAACATATTTAATGCAGAAAAAAAAATAAAAATAAAGTATTTTAATTTTAAATTGATTTTTAGTAACATTTTCCAATTTAAGTGCACTAATTCTAATTACCGCAACAGTTTGAAGATAAATCTGTGAGTAAAGGGCCTTTTTTCATAATCTGTATACTGCAGTCAAACTAAGTAGTTTAAAGATAATTATTAATTATATTTGTAACACATTTTTTCAGTTAATTTCCCAATAATGTCATTACTTCAACACATTAGCGTCCACTGAGGATCTTCGTTTTACTTGTTTGTTTGTAATTTACAACATTTAAAGAGAAACAACAGTTAAAAAGTAATACAGTAATAAAGTCTTTATATTATTTATAAAATTACAATAGCTAAAAACCGGATAAATTCAAGTTAGCTTCTCATTCTAATTTTCCCGTTCCACCTTAAATGGTGCAGCAGTTACATTCTGATGCATAAGAACGTAGCGAACTGCTGCACCATTTAAGGTGGAACGGGAAAATTCGAACGAGAAGCTGGAGAATAGGCAGCAAACTTCAGCCTCGCGTAAACATCGGTAATGAGAAACAGAAACAGTGTTGTTGTACTTCAGTTAATCTAAAAAATGATATGAATATCGTTCATCTGCGTCATGATAATGACACTGAAATATTTTATGGGATTTTTGGTCTAAGTCTGGCTTCTTTTGCTAAACCAGGTTTGCTAAGTTAATCAGCCTAAAGCGAATCTCCGTTGTTATGCTAAGCTAAGCTAGCCTAGCGCTGGCCGCAAACCGTTAAAACCGTTACGGCTTCGGTTAAAGTCTGAGGGGGACATCGGTTAAGAAGTTTAAAAAAGCTAAAATTTACGGCTTATTAGCTGGAAAAAGAGTAGAAATTGAGTTCAGAAGTGTTTGTGGTGGTAGTGTAACGTTAGCTCTCTTTTCTGCGTTAACTTGAGGTAAATCAGTGCGCTACGAGCTTTTGGGCAGCTTTGAAAAGAGCCCCTTCTCCAAAAGCATGTGTACTGTCCGCTCATACGCTGTGACTGAAATAGATGATATGACTGGATCCCCACGGTTAGACCCTCAAACCGCCCCCCCCCCTTCTTTTCCTCCTCCTCCTCCTCCTTCCTCACACTCTTGTCCGGGTGTTTGTGGTGTTTGTGTTCAGAGAGCCGCTGCGAACAACCTGCACCAGCCGAGGTAAGAGCATTTCTGCAGTCTTTGTCATGTCTTCACAATACAACATCGTGCAAGTAGCGACGTGTAATAACAGTACTGTCTATGAAACAGAACGACACAATTTTCCATAAGTTCAGTGCCGGTGCGGAGAGAAACAACAACAAAAAACACAGCCACTTTCATTTACCTGATGGTGTGGGACCTGCTTTGCTGCTTCTCTTAGTGTTTCTTCAGTTAGGGACACTGCAGCTTTAAGTGCACATAGTGAAGCATCGCGTATACCAGAAACTCCTCTCTCCTTCTCCAGTGACAGTTCCAGAAGACCCCGGCACAAGACAGACATAGGCAGACAGGGGGGGCTGAGAGAAACATCAGGGGCTCCCTCTCCAGTAATCAGCACTCTCGTCAGCCTGCATGCACCCTTCCCTTTGTTCCTCGTGAAGGAAAAGTGCATTTGGTAGTTGGGGGGGGGTAGGAGTAGGAGGAGACTCATTCAATTCTCTCTTTCGTTTCCCTCAGGCAGGCTCCGGTGCTGAGGAGGCTGCGCTGCTGAGAGTCGCAGCAGGCGGACGGACGGAGGGACGGACGGCTTGACGGACGGGCGAGCCGCAGGGCCAGCCTGGGTGAATGGTGTCCGGGCGGAGGGACGCGGCAGGATGGCGTCCACGGGCACGCAGATCTTCGCCTTCGTGCTGGCGCTGCTGGGCATCCTGGGCACCACGGTGGCCACACTGCTGCCCAACTGGAAGGTGAGTGCGGACGTGGGCTCCAACATAATCACCGCCATCTCGCAGATGCAGGGGCTATGGATGGACTGCACATGGTACAGCACAGGCATGTTCAGCTGCACCCTCAAGTACTCTGTGCTGGCGCTTCCTGCTTACCTGCAGACGGCACGCACCACCATGGTGCTGTCCTGTGTGCTGGCAGCGCTGGGACTGTGCCTGGCCTCGCTGGGCCTCAAGTGCACCCGCTGGGGCGGCGGGCGACGCGCTAAACGCCACGCGGCTCTGGCGGCCGGCGCCTGCTTCCTGGCCTCCGGCTTCCTGTGCCTGGTGCCTGCCTCCTGGTACACCAACGAGGTCATCGTCAGCTTCCTGGACGCCAACGTGCCCGAGAGCAACAAGTTCGAGCCAGGCGGCGCTGTCTACGTCGCTTTCGTCTCGGCCGGCTTTCTCTTCGTCGGCGGTTCCATCTTCTGCCTGTCGTGCTCGGGGAAGCGGCAGGCCCCTCAGGACCTGATCCTGCTGCCTCCGGATAAACTCCTGCTGCAACAGCAGCAACAGCAGCTGCTCCAGCAGCAACAGCAACAAGAGCAACTCCAGCACCAGTACTGCTCCCTATCACCTCTGGACAACAAGACTGGCTACAGCCTGCAGGACTATGTGTAAGAGGGAAAAACATACAGCCTCAGCCAGACACGTGCGAGGCGCTGCCGCACAAACCCCTGGCTCTGGCGATTACCAGATGAAAGGGGGAGGAGGACAGCGACTTTGATGCACTCCCCCCTCCCCCTTCTCCCCCTTTTTTCTGATCGGCAAGCACAAGCGGTGGAGGTATTCCCTAAGCAATGTCTTGGAACAGACGGATCGTGAATACTGAGGTGCGCTGCTGTGGAGAGAGCGCTGCAGTAGCAGCCGAAAGCGATGACAGAGACAGAGAGAGAGACAGAGCGCAGACGATAAATAAATGCAGATATCCAGTATCCAAGCAAAGCGTATTAAGAGTTCCTTGGGGAGTGGATTAGCTGTAAGGAAATCTTTTTCTCTATCCCCTCATCCCCTATACCCCACCCCCTAACCCCCCTCCCCAAAGATTAGAAATGAAAAGCAATCGTTTAGCTGCTAACAATCTTTTGGTAACCTCTGTTCAAAGTAAGTCGGCAATATGTCTCTTCGAGGCAATAGTGTGGGAAGCCAGTTTGCAAGCCTTTTCTTGTGGTTTTTCTGGACCTGTCCACTTTTGAGTAACAGTAGAACTAATGCAATGTCTTGTCTTATTTTGGTAGCTGATAGAATGATTGATATTCTGCCTAAGCATGCTGTCTGGAGCCTGTGCATAATGCAGCAGAATGCCTGGTAGAGACTGAGTCGTAGCCACATTGCCTGTGCCTATATACAGAAAGAGAGAGAGAGAGAGAAAGCTGTAGAACACTATACCACTGGAATTGTTTTGGGGAGAAAACGTGACGAGAGAGTGAATGGGGGGTTGCTGGGTCAGGTATGAGAAACTCGCACTCTGGTTGGCACATCGAGGATAGGACGTGATGCCTGTACGTGATGAGCGGACAATCTGACGTGTTGCTGTTCCAACACTTTCTCATTTAGTCCCACACAAAATCAAGCTGGCTGAGTGCATGCTGCTTGCTGCTCAATCACCCACACACAAAAGTATACACCCGCGCACATATACACACAGAGAGAGAGAGAGAGAAAGCTGCATGTGTGCTTTTTACTCGCGCCGCTACTCACTGCCATGGAAACAGAATCCTTGCACCCAAATATGTGTATATATTGTCTGGGGGGCTGTGTCACTCACAGCACTGGAGGAAAGCACTGTGAGTCTGCTGTCTCACAGCACTGGAGGCTGTTGTAAGTCACTCCAGCCCAAATAGGGATCAGTGTCTGGAGAGGAAAAAACCCTATAAAACCCTCTCCCAGGCATGAGCACCAACCCCATTCTGCTCATTCACCTTATCAGCAGTCTGCCAATCAGTTCTCCTTCTAAGAATGTAAGAAATATAGGCGCGTTTGGAAAACGATGTAGAAAAATTTTATGAACACAGTCGCTGTTTTCATGGTAGTGAGGCTGCGCTTCACGCTCTACATGTCTGCTATCTGCTGATGTCCACTTTTTAAACCAAACAGCACTTTTTTCCCTTAAGATTTCCCCTATTTTTTATTCCCAAATATGTCAGCAGTGTCAGATTTACACCTGCAGCAGATCACTCATCTTAAGTTCATCTGATTTCTCAGCGCCACACTCATCCACAAGCTGTTTTTTCCACTCTGCCTGAGTGCATATGGATGCTGCCTCATGCAGTGAGAGAGAACAGTTGCATGTTGTGAGCAGGTCTGCCAGTGTAGATACAAACTCGGAACGCACACTTTCACAACTGCCCAGCCTCGTTGTCCATTATGTGTACAGCGTTCGTGTGCCGTAGTCATGCTTCTCAGCTTTGCGGAGGGGAGGAATGTATCTCCCATGTTGCTCTGCTCTGGCAAAGCAAGCTTTGGCAGTGATGGATGGCACAGCGCATTCTTCCTCTGAAACAGATTTCCCACGGGCGAGCAGATGGCTAGGCCCAGCTCGCCCCCTGCAGGCAGCCGTGGGCATGCTGAGTGGGCACAGCCAAGCACCGCACTGCCCTTCTGGGGCGGATTAGCCCACCCCTCAGCCAACAGTGCCATCACCTGGACCATAATGACTACCCATGCACCGTTACTCAATGCAATAACTACCCTCCTCATTCCCTCCCGAACTACTCATACACTGCCATGATTCATCTGAGAATGTGCCAAATCCATGTCTATTTTTGCAAATGTATCTATATGTACTATGTTCTGCTTGCCAAATGACTAAAGTGACAAAGGTTGTTTATTATTTGAAGGCTCTTCCTCTGTCCTGTCAGGTTAAAAAACAAAAAAGATAGAAGTTTACATTGCACCAACATAACCAGTATCAGGTTTTTCTTTTTAATTCCGCAGAACTCATTTCATAAACAGAAGCCATTTAGTTTTACAGGAGAGGCTTTAGAGTCAGGATATTTTAAGAAATGTTTATCATGCTTTGGGATTCCTTTTTTTTCATTCCCCAAAGCCGTATACAGCCAGTTTGGCAGCTTGTTTGATTTTAAGTATTATCCTTTTTTTGCTATTGTTTAAGAGAATATGCAGTTCTAGTCTTAGTTCCAACACCCAGGCATGTTTATAGTGAATCTTCTTTATAAGAAGACAAACCATTTTACACCTTTACTTGTGTAACCCCATGTTACCACAATTTTTTGGTGAAACATTGAAAAGAATATGATACAAAGAAAGGCAGATTAAATGTAAATAATGAGTAGTGCATTGAAAGAATGCCCTTTGTCTGGGAAAGTGTACCAGGCAAAACTTATATATTACAGTGTAGCTTGTTCATTAGCACATTAAAACATGAGCTTCGAGTGGCCTAAGCAAAACAGAGCGGCCCACGGTTCCGTTTGGTGACAAATTTAATGGTTCTCAATTGGATAATTGCAGCTAATTTTTTTTGTGGATGCTTTAGCACTTCTTGATTTCACAGAGAAATTAAGGTTCCAATGTTTCTCTACTGTTGTTTCAGTCTGCTTGTGCAAGTAGTTATATTTTTATTAATAAAACTATTTTGTGGAAGCAACAAGTCCTCATAAATCCTGAGTCTCATTTAATAAACTGAGCGTTTATGTTTACTCTGAAGAAAAGCATTGTGCTATGCTGCCAAAATGTATTTATTTATTTATTTATTTGGACAGACTGTACTGTAGCGCCCTGTGTAGGCCGAAATGCTGCTCATGAGTGTGTTGTGCCTGCATGGTTCATACATAGGTCCTTTCTTTGCTTTTTAAAATCACCAATCATGGCTGTAGAACTCAATACTGGTCTCTGCTGGATTTAGACAATAAACCCTTCATTAAGACATCAACTATATGCATCTATTGATAGACAGGTCAACAGTGAACTGTCAAATGAAGAAAAAGTGAAGGGTTTTTGTGGTGCTACATCTTCTGAAAATTATACATGAATACACTGAAAATACCCTGAAAGTATTTGCGTCTAATTGGGGTTTGTGGGATGCGGAGCAGCAGCAGGTTAGTCATCCAGGTTGCGGCACAGAGCAGCCAATCTGAACGCACTCCAGAATGGAGATGGTGCTGAAATTGGCTCACTGTGTGCTGTGTCATACAGACCTGGCATCTTGAACGTGTCCCTCTCACAGCGCTGCCATCTCTTATCAACTGCTTTCTGCTTAATATGCCTGCAGGCCTTTCCGGAATACTTGACAAACTACTTTATAAACGGCTCCTTTATATAAAGACTGTATGTACAGATACCTGTGGCGTGTTGCCGCTTCTGGCTGACTCTTCACACTAATGTTTGTCTGTGCTCATCATGGTCAATTACATCAATATTGACAAAGCGCTGCTTTTTCATGTCACTTTCCTCTTTTTCCATCCAGCCGTGATTATTCAGGGGAGATTGTCCCGGTTATAAAACATAAAAAATTAAGACTCACAAGGGAAAAGAACAGTAATAAGATGAGTTTTTCTGTGTATTTAACCTACATTTGCTTCAAAGGGTTCTGGCCTGTGCTGCAGTCATGACAGACTGTAGTTCAGGACTTACTCTCTTGGGGCCATTTAGCATAGCATCTAATTATGGGTCGCATTTCAGTACTTTTTTTAAAACGTCCTTTACAACTTTCACTTACAAATTGAAAGTGTATCATATCAACGTTTCACAAGTGGCCCCTCACATCACAAGAGAATGAGGAGACCGTGAGGAGTGGATTTTTTAAATTGGAATGTATTCAGAGCCATTCAAACTCTATAATGAACACATTTTTGAAACAGGTCTAACCATGACGTGCATACATTTAGAGAACATTTGCTTAGTCTGGCTATAAGCTTTGATTTAGGACTGTTTAATTTGTTGTTGCTAGCTGTGTAGCATTTAGCTTGCTAGCTAGCATGCTAGCAGAGTTAAACAATCAAGTTATAACAGCTGGAGTGGTTTGCTACATAAATCTCAAATCGCAAATTGGATGTTATAGTTTTGAAATATTTTGTAATTTTTAGTTTTTTTTTATTAATATGGTTTATAAGCAGCTTTGTCTGACATTTTTTGGGGTTTAGGGAAGCAGACGGCAATTGTTCCCTTAAAGGAATAGTTCAGTGTCCAGCTATGAGGCTAATATTGCTAAGAAACACTAGAAGTCAATAGTCATCTTTTCTGTAAACACATCCCCAGAACTTCTCTCAACCTGCTCAAACCATATCCTGGTCTTCATTAAAGTCGCACACACTTGTTGATATGGTTTTAGACACAGTACAACTTGCTGTGAATTTAAATAAGTTTAATGTAACGTTTTAGACAACAGAGGTGCTTTGCTGAATTCTGACCTCTCTAATTGTGCATGCACATTATGCAGGCATATGGACACTGCTAATTACGTTTGAGATTTCTGTTGTTTCTCTTTATAAATAACAATTAATCTTGAATTTTCAAACTGAAAATATATGTGTTTATAAATAGAAACAATTGCAAATGTAATGTATGATGTGTGCACAGGCAAGGGGACATCAGACATCAGACAAACATGCCTAAATGGCTGCCTACTTGCTGAAGTTTTTGTTTGTTGTTATAGTTCACAGTAAGTCATATTGTGCCCTAAACCATATTGACATGTCTGCACAATCTTAATTGAGATCTGGATTCAGTTTGAGCAGGTTAAGAGAATTTTTGGGGATGTATTTACAGAAAACATTGGGGTGACTACTGACTTGCAGCATTTGTTAGCAACATCAGACTCATAGCTCCAGTGTTACATGTCTTGCCGATGTCTTGGCTGAATGACTATGTTTGGGATGAGTGGAAAATTGTGTTAAACAAGATATGATAAAAAATGGAAAGAGTGGATAGGCTCCCCTTTTAGCTGGGTTCTGTGGCATGTAAAATAACCTACTGAATGCATTGACACAATGATGCATGCTCATTATTCTACAGGTAAGTATGAAGAACTGGTTAAGTTACTTCATAATCGTAAGACTGATAGAGCTGGCAACAG